AGTACTAATCAAGAGAAACTCCTCACATCGGGATATCGATGTCGATGGTATAGTCATGCTATGATAACACGTTTATGAATCATATTTTGACGAAGGTCGTCTTCATGCACAATCAACCCTATTAAATATCACTAGGTGATCAAACATAGCATCAGGTGATCCAATAAGCATCAAGAGATCAAAAAAAATATCATCATTCATCTTAACAAAAGGAAAAAAATAATTAACATAATTGTTTGTGTCAAAGCGGGCTAAACGGGTTTGATTTGACAGCATAGAAATCTACAAAACTGGTTTTAGTGAGCAAAAGGTCTAAACGGATTTGAAATTTGAGTTTTAGACCTAAATAGGTCTAGTATTTTGAGTTATAAACCCAACCGGGTCTGGAAATTTCAGTTTTAGACCTAAAGGGTCTAGTATTTTGAGTTATAAATCCAAACGGGTTTGGAAATTTGATATTGGATCCTAACCGGGTCAAACAGGTCTGTAATTTGAATTATAAACCCAAACGAGTCGGGTCTGGAAATTGATATTGGATCCTAATTGGGTCAAATCAGTTTGTAAATTGAATTATAAACCCAAACAGGTCTGGAAATTTATATTGGATCCTAACCGGGTCGGGTTTGAGTTCATAACAGACCCAAATAGTTTTTGAAAAAATGAAGGGCAAAAGATTCGAACCCAAGACCTAAGAGCTATACCCAAAGGTCCTCTGTCTTAGGACTGCTGCAAGAATTGTTTACTTATAGTCTAAATTAACTATGATTCTACCGAATAAAAAATAAGTAAAAGGATTTATAAAACTTAAATGCTCTGTTGTGGCCGAAAAATAATAATAATAAATTTATTACCCGAAAAAGGGAATTTAACAAAAAATCATAACATAATTACAAGCATTTTAACCATGTATGGACACCTAAGGAAAGTATAACTAAGATGCCCTACAACAAGCCATATCCACATGAATTGATGCACGTGGAGGAAACTAAACATTAAGAGAAATTCCCTAAATATTATAAATAACAAATTTAAAGTTTGAGAAATTTAAGAGGAAACTAAACATTAAGAGAAATTCCCTAAATATTATAAATAACAAATTTAAAGTTTGAGAAATTTAAATTTGTTGTTGGGGAAAAATAATTCTCATAAAATATTATAAATAACAAATTTAAAGTTTGAGAAATTTAAATTTGTTGTTGGGGAAAAATAATTCTCATACTATAACCAAAATAGTCTCATGAATTAAACATACACTTAAACCATCATCAACATATAAAGATTCTAATCAACTAGAAGCATAACATGCTAGCATTATCTACCAAACATCTATAATTTCACAAGCTATGAAAGGATTTATGAAGATGAAAACTTTTTGAAAAGAAAAGGGAAAGATAAAAAGGAAAAATATGCTTGTCGATTTGTGTCAAAAAAGAACTCCTAGCAAAGATCTTTCACTCGCCTCCTAAGATATAACCGTGGCCCCTCTTTTCTTCTCTTTTTTTTTATTTTTGTGAGGTTTTCAGATGGTAAAGAAAAGAAAAAGGTTTAAAGGATATATGCTTGTTGAGGATAGACTTGATGGTTAGAGATTTTATAGGATATGAGAGATTTTGTTGTTGAGATTTCCACTTTGATTTTTTGTGAAATGTGGTATCATGGCAAAAAGGAAAAAAAACGGTTTTCTTATCCACGTTCTCTCTCTTTTTTTTTGAAAAAGAAACCAAAGATATCATATGAAAAAATAGGTGTAGATGGGTTTAAACTTGTTCGAGGGCTTTGGTTGCATACAAATTCTAGTATACTGGGTTATAAGGAGAATTGGGCCTTGGAAAAAATAAAATTCAAGAGTAAGTTGGGCCTCGAACAAAGCTTGCCATAAGAAATGTGATTGTGTGCCTTAGCTTAAATAGGCTTGGGTATTACAAACTGTGATACCTTAATCTTCTTCACAGATTGACTAAACGAAACGATCCTCACTAGGGATCCACCAACCAAACAATCCTCCTCAAGGATCCACCAAATAAATAATCTTCCTCGGGATTCTAATAAATGATTCTTTTTTAGGTATCTGCCAATCAAATAATCCTCTTAAGGACCTAACAAACAAGTGATTCTTCTCGTGGATCCATAAACAAATGGTTCTCTTCACGGATCAACCAAACAAATGATCCTTTTTAGTGATCAGCTAAAAAAACTATCGTCTTCATGGATCAACCAAACAAACGATCCTTTTCATGGATCAACCAAACAAATTCTTTATCGTCGGTCAAGGGTTCTAGAATACAAGCGGTGGCGGCGGTGGTGACCACAAGTTGTGTAGGCGGTGAATGAAGGTAAATTAAAGTGTAGGCTGTCGAAAAATCACTGCAGATAGCTGATCCCCATTAAACACTAATGATAAAAGTTACAATCTGATAACTTTCGCATCACCAATCCAACGATGAAAATTACAATCAGACGACTTTCACGTTAACAGATGAAGACTATAATTAGAAGATTTTTACGTAGATCGAGAAATGTTACAATCTGATAACCTTTACGAAAACCGATGAAAGTTCTAATCAACAGCCTTCACAAATAATGGGAGTTACAATCTGACGACTCTCATATTTCAAGGAGCAAAGACAGAGATTATAAGATGACGATCTTCGCAAACGCTCTAACAAAAGAGACTACAAGTCAATAGTCTCTTCAATTCAAGACTCAAAGCTCACCTTTGCATCTCAAAAGCTAAACGCATAGCTCAAAACTGCGTCCTAGATTTCAGACGCAGAACTCATCTGCGAGTTACAAGAATAAAATGCAAGAGTCAATCTTGCGTTCCAGACTCAAAACGCATGGCTCACCACTGCATTTTTCAGCCTCAAGTGCAGAACCCAACTCTGCGTCCCAGGTCCAGAACGCAGAGTTCGTGCTCAGAACGCAATTCTTGCGTTTGACTCGTTCAAATACGAGCTGAACGGTTTTAAAACCATTTTTCCATGATTTGAGGGAATCATTCCCCCACTTTGGAGCTAATTAAGGGGGCAGTTACACCCATTAATCCCCTATAAATAGTTAAAAATCAGCTTAAAAGGGATCTTTTTTTAGATCTTCGAATTTGGGGGGAGGGGGGGGGGGC